GTGCATGAAATTTGTGCACTTGCGGCGGGGAGTCCCTCAGGCCAGATTGCGAGAGGGCACAGGCCAGGCTGAGGGACCCCATTAGTGCATGATTGGGGTTGGGGAGGGACATGGGAGGTTGGTCAGCCGGGGAGGGACTGCAGGAGGGCTCCAGGGCATGTCTGGCCCATCTTGCTCAGTCCTGATAGGCCAGACCTCAGCAGCAAGCTAACCTACCAGTCTGAACGTCTGCCCCCTGGTGGTCAGTGCTCATCATAGCAAGTGGTTGAATGGCTTTAGCATATTAACATATTACACTTTGATTGGTTGAATGGCCAACCTGATACTTAGCATATTAGGCTTTTATTATATAGGATTTTGTATGTGATTTCTCTAGTCTATATTTAAAGCAGGGAATAGTTGTTGCTATCTATTAAAATTTCTCAGTAGTTCTGTGAGGATTTTTTTTAAAAGGGAAGAAATATGTAAATGAAGTAGTTTTAGACTTGAAATAGCCTGATCACACAGTGAACAGTTGAAACTAGATTAAATGTTGTTTGTTTGAAATATCAGGATCCTAGAGTGGTAATTTGTCAATAATGATCCTGCAAAATAAAGTAGGCATTTGATATGTGCACTTTGGTTGGGGTAATGTGTGGAAAGGCATATGGATATAAATGAGACATTATTTATCACTGTTCAGGCCAAGAAACTGTTCACTCTTAGTCATGTGAAGTTTGTCTAGTCCCAGTTTTTTTCTCAAATACCAAACTGACCGACTGCCTGGCTGGTGTATTGTTTATTCTTTACAGTTAGTCATTCTACTTTAAAAAAAAAGGGAGGGGGTGCAAAAGAACCCTAGCCAGTCTGGCTCAGTGTATAGTGTTGGCCCATGGACTGAAGGGCCTTGGGTTCGATTACAGTCAAGTTACCAAACATAACTTGGTTGCAGGCTTGATCCCTGGCCCCAGTTCAGGAGGCAACCAATCAATGTGTGCCTCTCTCACATTGGTATTTTCCTCTCTCTCTTTCTCTCTCTGTCTCTTTTCCTTCCACTCTCTCTAAAAATCAATGGAAAAGCATCCTCAGGTGAGGATTAATAACAAAAACAAAAAGGCAAAAGTAACTTGAAAAATTGAAGTTAAATTGATAACTACTATTTTAAATAATTTAACTTTTCTTATTTTCTTCTAAACTTACACTAGAACATACTGTTTCTGTTGCTTTTTCTACTATAATGTGATCATACCACGTAGTTTGGGTGTAATCTGCTTGTTTCACTCAATAGTGGAGAAGGTCTTTGATATGTTTTTTTATATACCAGAGCTATTTTAAAATTTTCATTTGGATGGACATTTAGGCCATTTCTTATTTTTCATTATTACAAATATCTTGTATTTCTAGCTTGATGAACTTGTCCTATTATCTTTTTAGTGTAATTTCTCAAAAATTTAGATTACTTAGGGGAAGGATGTATACATTTTAAACTTTGATACATATTATATTTCCCTCTAATAAGATTACTCCTGCAATTGTTTGTTTTAATTCCTCCATTGTTGCAATGCATCCTTGCCTCTTCAAAAAGTGAAGCATAAATCTTTTAAAAATTGGTATAGCTTTGCTTATTGTGAGGTAGAATATCCTTTTATAGATTTGTTTTGTAGGTTTATTTTTATATATTAAATACATGCACGCACGCGCGCACACACACACACACACACACACACATATATATATATAAGTTTTTTTTGTTTTTATTTCTTTAATGAAACTACTCATTTCATTCTTTTTTATTATTTTCAATTGGGATGTTTTAAAGATTTTCTTTTAAAATACCAAACACTTATTTCATATATAAAATAATTTAGTACATGTAGTTAGGATTGAAATCAACCCCATATAATCTTGAGTATAGTGATCGGACTTTTAAAATATACTAATAATATAACTGTTACAAGAACTTTGATAATTGAATTTTAGTGGACCTTTAGGGGTATAAGACATTTATTTCCAAATCTAAGTTAAGAACAGCATTGATATCAAACGATATATATCTGTGAAAGAATGAAAGGTGTTCAATTTAAATATATGTACTTCAGAGTAGATTGAAATTACACCAAGATTCTAATTCCTTTATTCTAAATGTATACTGTTAAATAAATAGGTATCTTATAAATGACAGAGCTGATTTAGGAAGATACTGTTGTGTATTTAGATACCATATGTAGTAGACTATATCAATTTTAGCCTCATTTCTAAGAGATGTTATTTGGAAAACTTTATGTTCTCTAATAAAACAACTAAGGCAAAAAGTTGTAAGATTTTTCTTGCCTTTTGTATTAATAACCTGGTATACATAATTTTCAAAAAAGGAAAAGACCCCCCCCCCCACACACACAAATCAATTTTTCCTCCTAAAGTGGTGTAATTAATACTGAACTTTGTCTTTCAATTAAATTCTAAAATTAATTTGTGAAAGCTCTTTATATTTTAATGTTAACCTAACACTAAGTTATCATTCCTGCTATTCTACACTTCATTTTATAGAAAATTTTCCCATTTTACAAAATGCTATGGAATCTAGGTAAAGTGGTGTTTTTGTTATTAAACATACAGAGGAAATAGAAATCTATATCATAGATTTTAAATGTAATTAAGATAGTTCCCTGAGAAGAAATTGCTGCCCTATCTGTCATTTATTTTATCTTTATTTGCTGTAATCCTTACTTTGATCTCTGGTCACAGAGTACTGGGTCAATCAATTTGGAGCATATGTCTGTACTGTGAGGAAAAAAGATGTAAAAAATCTTATCCTGCCTTCCAGGAGCTTAGAGTGAACTTTGTGCTGTTTATATTTTAGTCAGCTGATTATTGTGTTGTGATAATGCAGTTTCTAACCCAAAAAGGATGAAACGTTTTTCAAAGTTCATTGCCATAGGCCTGGGGTTCTGGTATTTATTCAGGAGAAAAGACTGCTGGGTCCTTAGAGGTAAGAGAGGGTGAGTCCAGAAAAAAAGTCAGAGCCTGCCTTTCCAGGTTATACCGGACACGTGCTGTGATGGTAGTTGTGAGAATCTGATGTAATCGAGCCAGTATCAGCTGGATGGGATACATTTAGTTTAAGCTAGCAGTATATTTGTATTTCCCCAGCAAGTAAAGCAGTGCCTCAGAATTCAAAGGAGAGAGCTTCCTTTCTTTTCCTTTAGGCTCTTATTTATTTCTTCCCCCCTCCCTTTCTTTTGTCCAACTTACCTCCTAACTAGCGGCCTGATGCACAAAACTTAGGCAAGGGGCTCAGTTCCTGCAGCCCGGCTTCATCTGAAAGGTGGTTTTTGGCTGGCTGGTCTAACGAGAACACTACGCTTTTATTATTACAGATTTTTCCTGCCTTCTACTTTCCAGAGGTAGGCACAGGGCTTGGCACAGGTGCTTCCCAGGACTTCCCAACCTGGAGCCTCCTGTTGGTCATTTGTACTTTCCTAATCACTTTCTACCACTCGTCTGTTCAGTCTTTAGCAAATATTTTAAGATGCCTGGATATAATGGTGATCAAAGTAGAGAAGTTCCCCTTTTATAGTAGAGTTTGCATTGTATCATGTAAGAAATATTTGCATTCTAAAAGCACATTCACACTTAAACTGATCGAAATAATTCAACATATAAAGCATGTGCAGGGGCTGACCAGCAGACCCTGAGCAACGGATGAATGGACTAGTTGGCTACAGCCTTTGCTGTGAGGGAGAGGACTAAGGGGCTGCCTGGCTAACGGAACCGTTAGCCTCGATTGCCTGCCTTGTTAGGCTTTTATTGTAACAGCAGTTAGGAAATTTTTCACTCCCATATTATACCTAAAATGTTTGGAGGAGAATATTCCATCATTAATCATAAATCAGGATGCCATACTAATTAGGTATGACCATAACCTATGTAATTACATGGTCGTTGATTACAAATTTTGGATGCCAGAAAGCACACTGAAGTAGGCATTCAACTGTTAGACCTTACAAAGGCTGAAGCTGAAGAGCAGATAAAGTACAACTTTCCAGGCTAACACTGAACTTCAGTTCATTCCTAAATCTTGCCTTTGGCCAAAATGCCCAAGGGTCATTGTGTGGCCTGAAGTAGGACCCAGCTGGCAGAACCTGAGAGGGAGGGAAGGGAAAAATTTGACCGTGGGCTGTTCATAAGGGTTTTGTCCAAAAAATGCTGGCTAGAGTAGTGAGAGCCAACCTTTATTGAGTCGTCACTATGTACCAGACACCAAGTAGTTGTGGCTTTCCCGCCCCCCCCCCCCCTTTATAACAAAGTTTTATTGTCAATTATTTATCTTAATAGTTTCAGAAAGAGGTAGCTCAGTCCAACATGATGGACAGTTGGCCAATCGAGAAAAGCAAGTGTTCTGAATGCTAAGGATTTAATTTGAATGCTTTTAATACTTAGCCATCGAACACTACAAACATCGTCCAGAATAAAATGCATCACCTCCCTCCGTACCACTTTAATACCTACCTCACTTCAATATGGAAATGTCGTCATTAAATATGATTCCCAGAGGAACAAGTTCTCCAGAGAGCACAGCCAAGAGGACAGTCCACAAAAAGAAAAACTGAAAACAAATCTCTTTACGATCACCTACTAGTCTAAGGAAACAAAAACCTTCCAATGTACTAAGAGATCAGTCCCGTTACAAATGCACTAATAGGTCAATGTGAAGAGGTTCTGGTGTCATCAGTGAGAAGGCCGGCCATGGACAAGATAACAAGCAGGTGCGGGGCCCCCGGCCCAGCGCTGTGTTCTCCCCCCGCAGGCACACACAAGAGCCCACGTTCCCCCTTCCCTCCGCGCTCAGCTGCCCGCCGCTGGGCCAGACTGCGGGCTGTCTGACCCACCGCAGGAAGCTGCCTTTTCGGAAGGGAGCTGGACCAAGCCACAGTGAGGTCTGAGGTCAGATGGAACCAGATCCTCAATGTCCACCAGCTGGGAGTCTGAGACTTTTCCCACCATCACGGAACCCACGGGGGATGTTTCGCTCGGATCTCACACAGGCGGATCCCACGCACCTGTGCGCCGGCGAGTGGGCCTCTCTAAGCACCTGCGCCCCCTCAGATGGCTCTCAGCGCGGAGCTCAGAGCACCAACCACAGCCGCCGGGCAGCAGGGGCGGCGGTGACTGCACCACAGGTGGGACTTCCGGCGGCCGCAGCCTAGGTCTATCTAATGAAATCCTCCAAGGATTGCTCATTTAGGCCTCATAACAACCCTGCAGGATGATTATCCTCATTTACTGATGTGGGAACGGAAGCTGAGCAAAGGTGAGGAACCTGTACAATGTCACACTGAAAGGCCGCAGCAGCTACGACTTAAATCTGGCTCAGAGCTGTGTTCTCACCAGGACAGTGTTTCTCAGATCTCTCAGATGGGAATGTGCTTTTTTTATTTTTATTTTTTTTATTTCTATCCAAGAGCTGTAAAACTGTTTTGCACTAATTTAACTGCAGGTCGGGGAGCAGAAAACACAGGGCTTACATTATGCCACTTGATAGTTGGCGTTTTTCATGCCCATTACCTCATTTAATCAACACAACCAAATTGCTCAGCAGGGATTTTCTAGATTTTCATAAATGAATGAGGAAAGTGGCACAGAAGGACTGAGTGACAGTGATGGAATGAAACTACGTCCTTTGGATTTCTAGCCCGCATTTCTTCTACTGTGCATGCTTTCCCCCAAAACATTGAAAAATAGTTCCTTGGTAAATGACAGTGGGTGAGGGGATATCATGTCTATTTTCCCTGATCCTAATTTATTTCTCCATTTTCTCTCTCTCATCCTCCACACTGCAGGCGTCCTCAAACTTTTTAAAGTGGGGGCCAGATCACGGTCCCTCAGAGAGCTGGAGGGCCGGACTATATGAACTACTAATTCCTACTGTAATACCTTGGCTGCGCTCACTGCCCAAAAAACCTGGCGGGCCGGATCAGACTCCTCTGCGGGCCGCATGTGGCCCGCGGGCAGTAGTTTGAAGACACCTGCTCCACAGCTTAATATCTACTGAATCAAATGTCTTTCCCAATCTATCTTCACTCCCCTGCTCTGCAATGTGTAAGAGACAGCATTCACATATCTGCCAATTTTGAAAATACAAGTATACCTTGGGTTTGGTTGCAGACCACTGCAATAAAGTGATTTATAATCTTTTTGCTGGTGGAGAGTCTTGCCTTTAATTTGTACAAAACAACCCACAAACAAACAAACAAAAAACAACCACACCAAAAAGCACAAAAAGCAAGCAAACAAAAGCATCTGTGAAGCACAATAAAGCGAAGTGCAGTGAATGAGCGATGCCCGTTCTCATTTTACTGGTGAGGCTCAGAGTCACACTGTATTTACTTTCAGTAAATAAATAAATAAATAAATAAATAAATAAATAAATAAATAAAGGCTGTTTTGGTTAATCCGTGAAGTGAACCCAGTGGAGTGAGATCTACTTGGAGTCTCTAACACCTGGCCGAGATTTAGTATAGAGCTCTGTGAATTTAACTGATTGATTTAATGATTTGGCTTTTATGGAAGATGAACTTATTTTCAAGATGATAACTAATACTTGAATGAAAAACCCACAATGCAGCAATGCTTGTAATAATGGAGCATTTTAGTCTTTTCTAGCATGATAGAGCCTTAAAATTATCTAGTTCAATCTCCTCAAGGCTTAAGTAATTTAACCAAGTCACAGAGAGATATCAATAGATGTGTGGAGACTAGACTATTATCTTCTTGATTCTCGGTATAGTGCTGCTTCTGCTGTGCCATACATGCCACTAGTTACACAGTCATAAGTCTTAGTCTTAATGAACATTTACTGATTCCTGGTAGGATTTGGGGGTGGGGGTGGGGAAGGATGCCGCGGCATCAAAACAATCTGGGATTTGAATCCCAGCTCTGGCACTTGTGGGCAAAATCTTTGGTATTTCCTGAGTTTGTTTCCTTAAGTGTAGAACTGTAATGATATGTACATCAAATAGCTATTGTGAATATGAAGGTAAATGAGACTGTGTGTATGATTTGATGAGCTTGGGCTCTGCCACATTACAGGCACTTTGGAAATGGTGGTTGTTTTTCTGGTATTATTAGGTTATTTGATTTTGCATCTTATAAAATTGCCCTCAAGAGTCCATTGTGGTTTTAGGAGTAGAATAACATCACAACTTACATTCTTTAGAATGGGACACAGCCTGTATTCTAGCTCTAGTCTGAAATGCTATCTTACTAGTAGATGGGAAACAGTTGTTTTTTTTCTTTTCTTAATGTAATTTTAACATAAAGCAATGCTAAAACTAATTTTGAGCCTGCTCTCTACTATATAAACTTTATACTCTATTTTGTGTACAGCTAATATAAAAGATGTCAAATGTCCCTGCAATTCCCAGAACTTAGACAATTGCTCGTTGGAAGCCTCTGTGCTTGTCCTCAGGCTGTTGCCTACCTCGGGAATGGAATGTTCTCATGTTCTGGCTGGCAAACTCCTGACCATACCATCCACAGCGAGCTCAAACATCACCTCCCTTTCTCTCATCACATTGTCCTCTGTTTCTTCTGAACTGATGGATGCTTTTATTATCATACTTACTGAATCAGATTGTAATGGCTCCATGTCTGCGTCTCCTTGGATTCTGGGAATTCCTTGAGGCCAGGGCCCATGTTTGTCTCACCTTTCTGTTTAATCAAACTCCCAACCCTACACAGCTCTCAGAAAATGAGCTGTGAGGTGGAGAAGGCTGCTGGCTAGACAGATGCTACAGGCGCCCTGGGTGAAAATGCCCTTTGCTTCATGTTGGAAGCAAATGCTTATTTTTCTCTTTGTTCTTGTGGAGGGACAGGGTGTTGTGTGGTACGGGGAGATGGGGATTTCCTGCACCTGGGATGAAGGTAGCTCAGAAGTGACATGAAGAAGAGGTTTCTGAGTATTTTGAAGAGAACATGGCAGAATCTGAACTTATGTAAACAGGCATGAAGGCGGGAGGATGGCAAGAGATAAAAAGGGGTTCCATGTTAAAGAAAAAAATGACTTTTCCTCCTGGAAATGGAAGTGAAACACCAGGTGCGAAGACGAGGGCCGCCGGAGAAGTCCCAGCGGGGGCCACTCAGGTCCTTGTCCTGAAGAGAGGAGTGACCCTTGCTGTCTGGTGACGCACCTCTCACTCCGGTCAGTGCTTCCTGAAACCGGCCGGAGCTCCGAGGCACTAACGGGAATCCTATCCCTTCACTCAGCTCCTCCGTCCTCAGGGCAGCCTGCTGATCCCTCAGGCCACCGGCAGGATTAGCAGGCCTTGAAGTGCTGCCCTGCCCCTGTGACTTCTCATCTCTGCCCAAGACTGCACTGGCAGCTTCCCTTGGCAGCTTATCACACAGCGGGACCGCAGGGCACCCTTGGGGACTGGGCCTCTTGCTGGAGGTCACAGACCTAGAGAGTGATTAGAAGGAGCAGCTGATCGTCTGTTCCTGTCACATCCAAGTCCGCGGCTTGCTGGCAAGGGAACTAAAACCATGGCCCCCGTCTGAAGGGTGGCTGACACAGCTCAGCTATCTACTGTCCTCAGTGGTAAGCCTGCAACCTTCTAGAAAAGCAGCTGGACATTGGCAGTCTATACACAACGTACAGTTGGGAGGTAGCTGTGGTGAATCCCCCAAGCCCCTCTATGTGAAATCTGTTGTAGGAATTCTGCTTTGCTTCGTCTAGTAACCTCGTCGTACCTTTGGAAGAAGAATTCCTAAAAGCGGGTACTGAGGGTGAGCACTTGCTGTGGCTCCGTGAGGGGCAGGCCACCCTGAGAGCATGTGCTGCGTGCCACCTGCATTCCTCCGGGGAACACCCAGGCGGAGGTGCTCCCAGCATGCTCTGCCAGCTGCCGTGGCCGGGCTCCCAGCTTCTGTGATCACATCTGGGCTTGGTTTTATGGCCCCTTACAGGATTTTATGTATTTGAAGGGAAGGGTGGGGAAAAGCTAGTAAATGCTCCTGTGGGCACTGGAGGGAACCGCCCTGCACAAGAAGAAAGAGAGAAATAATGACTTGCTCTCAACACGAAGCAGAGGGCATTGCTGCCAGTGATTCTGTAACATCTGTCTAGCCATCAACTGTTTCCATTTCACAGCATATTTTATGAGGGGACCTTTATTACAGGGGGAGTTGTTTCATTACTTCTTCAATCTTAAAATTAACAATAGGACCCTTCCTGCCATTCCAAATGGCTTAAAGTCTCCAGGGAACCAGCGAAGAGGAGAGCACAGCATTGCGGCCTTTTGAAAATGTGCAGCGTCCCCAGCGCTGGTTGCAGTGGGCAAGGGTTTCTGAGGCGTGATATCCTACATACCAGGAATCCGCTTTCTGTGTCAGTCTCTGGGAAATCAGTCTCTTTTCATTGACTTCCCAAAGATGGATTTGATGAGAGTTTTCATTTGAAAAGCAATACTTAAGTAGGAAAGTTAAAGGAAGATACTTTTCTAGCTTTAATTCTTCCCATCCTGAGGCATTACATAAAGGCAGACCTCAGAGATGCTGTGGGTTTGACTCCACACCCTGCAATGAAGGGACTAGTAATCTTTTTGCTGCTGGGACGGTTCAACCTTCATTGTAGCAGGTGTGACATCTGTAAAGCACAATACAATGAGGGTGTGCCTGTGTCTTTCCAAAGCCCCAAACCTCAGCGGTGTTACTCCATCTCCCTCCATGTTCCTTCCCCGTTCCACACCATTATAAAGCTACATTATGTCATATTCTAGCGTTGATTCAACAAATATTGTTAAATACCCACTATGTGCCAGGTCCTGGGGCAGAAGGATAAAACTAACTGACAGTCAACAACAGTTTGACTAGATGTCTATGCTTACCTGTCCTGTGCACAGCTTCCTCTTGGGGAGATTTTCCTAATGCCCCCCCCACCCCACCCCTTCTGTGATTGCACGCTCTGATCCTAATATGTGGCTTCCCCCTTGCTGCGGTTGATTAGATGAAGGAGAAAACTTAATCCAAGGGAAGTTAGTTCAATGACTTGAAAATAGTGGGCCATTTTTTTTTTTTTTAAATTGAGTTGATTGGGGTGACACTGGTTCATAAAACCATGCAGGTTTCAAGTGTACAACTCAACAAAACATCGTCTGCACACGGCATCTGGGCCCCTAACTTC